GGTGACACCTCGTGTGACTTCAGAGCTGTGTCCTGAGCGACTCTCTCTCTCTCTCAAGCCAAGTGAGGCTCTGAAACGCAGCTGCCCTGAGCACGTCTCTCTGGTGTTGTCGTACTGTCGAGTTGAACGCTGCCCTAAGACCATTTGTGTAGATACGTACAGTACAGATACTGTAGGCTCCATGGAGGCTTAAGGACCGGACACCACGAAATTCCACGCCGACGCCCGCCAGAAAAACCGGATTCATTTTTGATTCGCCGGGTCGAAAACGAAAGAGAAAGAGGCTCCGGCCGGCAGGGAAGAAAGCGCTTCTCGTCATGGCGCAGTCGAAGTTAACCAGCGAGCTGCAGTGCCCCGTGTGTCTGGGGCTGTTCGCAGACCCGGTCACGCTGCCCTGCGGGCACAACGTCTGCCGGGGCTGCCTGGAGAGTTACCTGGCCACCGCCAGAGAGACGCACCTGTGCCCGGAGTGCAGAGCCCCGATCCCCCGCCGGGACTTCAGGACCAACTGGGCGCTGAGGAACATGGCCGACAGGGCGAGGCAGGAGGAAGAGAAGCGAGACCGCGAGCCGCCGCGGTGTCCGGAGCACGGGGAGAAACTCAGGCTGTTCTGCGAGACGGACGGGACGTTGATCTGCTTGGTCTGCCGGGACAGCAGGAGCCACCGGGGACACGGGTTCAAGCCCGTGCAGGAGGCGGCGCAGGAGTTCCGGGTGAGGCCGCCGCTGTTCTCGCCTGGAGAGCGTGAACCGTCCCCTCCCTGGACATGCCGAGACAGCGGCTCCGCGCTCGAACCCCGATCCGATCCATCTGGCGGAGCGAACAGCCAGCGAGACGGTCTTTCGTTTCACTTCTCAAGGCTTTTGTTGAACTGGCTGTTCCTGCGTCTTTAGTTGTGTGCTGACTGTGTCATCTTCTCTCTGTCGCCGTTGTCTTGTGTGTGGACTGTTTTAAGCCACTTTTAAAGGCGCTGTATAATATATTCTAATGATTATTATCACCGTAGGAGGCTGACTTATCCAGCGAGTGAAATAAGATGTAAAAGATTGACTGTGCACTGAGTTAGACTGAGGAGCCGAACCGCACTGAGCGTTCGTGCGTCTCGGCTTCGTCTCGGACAAGTCCGGGGAGAGGAGAGAGCGCAGGGGTTTACGGCCGAATCGCTGTTTGTCTCGCAGGAGTCTTTACTGGCGGCTCAGAAGGCAGTGAAGGAGGACGTAGC